TTAAGCTCGTTCCAGCTATGGTTTCCGCATATGAAATGAAAGAGCACTTCGTTGCGCNATCTTCTCAACACCAAATGGTCCGGATAAAAGAATAACACGGGGGTTTAAATGGGCCCGGAACAATTGTTACCCCAGTGGGCCCAAAGGGGTTAATAAAAGTGGACGATTTGGTTTCAGCTCTGGCCAGCCCATGCTAGCTTTCACAAACCACTTTGGTATACTTAAAATGGTAGAGGAGACGCTGTTAGACTTAGCAAAAAAAGAATTTTTGAAAAAGCTTCGACAGGGACTCGAACCCGGGACCCCAAAGTGTTAAAGCTCGTTCCAAGCTATGGTTTCCGCATATGAAATGAAAGAGCACTTCGTTGCGCATCTTCTCAACACCAAATGGTCCGGATAAAAGAATAACACGGGGGTTTAAATGGGCCCGGAACAATTGTTACCCCAGTGGGCCCAAAGGGGTTAATAAAAGTGGACGATTTGGTTTCAGCTAGGTTTAAGCGGAAGGTTATCCCAATTTTTATGCAAAATGATTGTATACGAATGTAGTCCTTTTTAAATGTAGTCCTTTTTAGAAATCTTCTTTCTCTCTCCTTATGGGGTTTTTACATGCCTATTTTTGGGTTATTTTTGGTCTAGATTTGCAATTAAACGTCTGAAATTGTATAATCTTTAAGATTTGGTGAGATGATCACAGACCTATAGGCGGAAGGCTTATTCTAAAAATAGTCGTTTTGTGAAGTGCCAAACTTTAGCGCATGAGTATAACCGGTAGTAGTCTACTTTCAATTTTAGTAGCTCAAGATTTTCAAGGTCATCATATAGTGAATTTTTTAGGAGACATTGAGAATTGGCCAGGCTTTCATTCGACATAATGGAAAGCTTTCAACGAGATTTCTGGAAAAAGTTGTAGAAGGTTGAATTTCGTGTCTTAACATGGGAAGAGATAGCAAATGAATTAGTGGAGTGAGTCCTTTTATAAAATGGGAAGAGATAGCAAATGAATTAGTGGAGTGAGTCCATTTATGATTTGAATTTTGATCTTCTATGTTAATTTCATTACCCACCAGTCTGTGTTGAAAATATGCTCAACGAAGTGCTCTTCATTTCATATGTGGAACAAGCTTTTGTCCTTTCCTGATCTATACTTTATTTCAGACACCCCTTCCTTAACTAGTGGCCTAGTGATTTCGAACTTGCTTGGCAAGTTTGAGGGTTATAAGTTCGAGTTTCAGTTGGACATATTACAAAATTCTTTTTTTTTCACTAAGAGCATCTAACCTCGATTTTAATTTGCATTATTTTCATGTAAGAAATGTCCCTAACAATAACCTGAAAGCAATTTATGCAATCATTTTACGGCTCACAAATCCAATATCAGGTTGAAGAAAGACAAGACTTTCTAATCATTTCAACTTGAACGAACATTCATCAGACGATCTTATCCCAAAATGAGCGCATAGAAATTAACTTGCCAGAAGGTAAAACTACGAAATTCCGTTGCCAGGGGACCATTGGATTGAGACACTAAGTCATGCACAGTACATGTCAAGATAATGTCCATCATTAACAGTGTTTTCTGAAGTAAGTGCTTCAGCCATAATTCAAGGTTTTATGTAATACTCACATACATATTATTATCAGTAAGAATAAAAAAAAAATAGTTGGATAATGCCCGAAACAAGGTTTTATTTGCAATAACAAATAACGAAATATACACATATGCACAAAATCATAAGCACAAATTGATGTACCAGTAGACATATTACAATGATAAAAACATTTCTTTGCTGTACCACACAATACTTCGCCCCTTTTAAATTCTGAGATTTATTCTTAAAACAGAATATTATAAGATTCACTAGATTTCCAGGGATTTCTTCATAAAAATACTTTTGCAAAACATTATGCCTTGTTGCCTTTATAAAGACAAATTGTTGGACATTTAAAGTTATAATTTGTTCAAAATATACAATAGGATTAGTAACAGAAGTCAAAACATTGCCTGCTTCTCTTTGACGATCTAAATATAATACAAGTGTTATTTCAAAGATAAAGTTACTTCAATTATAAAGGGACTAAATTAATAATTATTTTTATGTTAATAAATACCGAATTAATAATTATCAGCTGAAAAAAATAAATATTTGTACACGGCAAAGCAAAAAGTTGTGTCTCAGAAGGGTTTAACATCTTTAATAGAAATTAAGTTTATGATTAGTTGCCTGTCATCAACTTCCTATTACTTTGAAATATCTTAATTTTTTTTCATGAAATTGCTCACAAATAAGGTACATTTCAAAATTAAAGCCCAAGAAAAATTAAAATAATAAAAATACAGTCAAAATGAGAATATTTCCTTGAAAATTTTTAATATAATTATACAACATCAATGCAGGTTATTTTTCACAATGTTCATATCATTTCTCTATGCAGATGGACACATTTTAATTTTTGAACCAAACCAAATAGTTATTTAAAAGAAAAGCCTCATAAGACTTTATTTCACAATATAACCCCTAGGAAGCATAATAACAGGCCAATATTAAGTTGTGATATCTAAAACTGACATTGTGTAAAAAAAATTAAGCCAGACCAAAGAGGATAAAATTTAAAAGCAATGTCCCAAAGGACTCACAACGATATCTAAAGGCACATGAATAATGTCGTTATCTATATAATCATATGTAACGACTAGACTCTTAGTATTGACTAGCTTTAACCTACTCTTTGTAACAGATATAAGAAAACAGAGTGTAACCTTTGAAAATTCTTAAATAATTAAAGATTAAAGTATTTTACTTTATAACACTTCCCACACCATTCCTATCATTTTATCCCTTTCTTCTTATATCTAAGGGTACATAAACCATACTGATTATTTTCTTTAAATTTGAGTGACAGTATAAACTTCAAACTTGGCTTTTTTCAATAAATTTGTTTTCATTTTCAAAGTAATTGGACAAAATTTTAAATTTTTTTTTTATAGCCTTTTTCACATAGGAAAATTAAATTTAATTTGAAAGTACAAATAATGCTTTTTGCTATAATGCCCATTAAGTTTTGTTTCTGACTAACCTATAGGCTCTATCACAAAAGTACTGAAAATACAGGACAGTTGAGAACATATTCCTTAATCTATATTTCTAGTCAGCATGGATATAAGTTTAAACTACAGAAAGAAACTGGGTCAAAACACTATCATACTATTTCGTACTTTAAGATTCAGAACAATTTTGATCTGATTTTGTTTCAGATCAGGACAATATACAAGAAAATACTCTATAAAAATGATAGCACTGTCATATTAACGTATATTGCACTGTAGAAATATATTTATAAAGTAAGCAATTAAGAGTCAATAGGAGAAAACAATCAAGAAATATATCAAGCAACTGGTGTGACAATAGGTGACTGACTCCCACCGATACCATTCACTAAATTTCCATGTATATTTTCTTCTATCATATGGGCTACTTTATCTCTATCCAACTGAAAAGTATAAATAAATATTTAAAATAGTATGCAATCAAACCATTTACATAATAACAATTATGTATGTTTTTTTTTCCTTTTTTTCCTACAGTCTCTCTGAATTCAAACTATTCTTGTTCAAATTATCTCAAAATAATAAAGATCTTTATTCAAAATTCCTCAAAACAATAAATTTGTTTATAACTCAGCACACAAACAAACACACGAACTGAAAATCAGAATGGTGTAACTTGATGTTATCCCTGTCCCACTTACACATAAATAGTGATCAAAAAACTTTTTACAAATAAAATGTCACACAAACCTCATTAATAAAGCCATAATGAACTAATTCTTCAGCTAATACCATAGAGTTATCGTCCTGCGATATATCACATTGTAATTGTCTATTCATTTTATCATCCATACGTAATGTTATAGTTAACTGTACATTAGGTGTATCTTCACCTTTCTTCACACTACAGGTCATATTAGTTACCATTCTAGTTTCGATGTCTATTGGTTCTGGAGTTTCAGATTTCACAGATTCTGTTAGTTCAGGAGTTATTGCTCTGGGACGAGACGGTGGGGGACGGGGCATGGCAAAGGCTGTTAATGGATGTATCCCATTTCTGAAATAATATTAAAGACAATGTAAAAAAATTCAACATCTTTGTTAGACTAATGAAAAAAAATATAACAGAGTCATAGAATAATATACACAACAGAAATGCTGATTTTTCTCTCCTACCTACTTAGTTAGCTTGCTTGTTAACTTACTTAGCCTGTTTAATTACTTAGCTAACTAGTTTACTAAGATAACTTGGTTTAAGTCCAATTATTTCCCAGATGTACTTGTCCAAATGAGATTTTTATAACAAAAACACTAGTCCACAAGCATGAGGTGAGGCCTTGTAATGGTTGAGTGCAAGTCTTACTTACTTCACATCTTCAAGGAATTTCTCTATTTCTAATGCAGGAATGGAAGAATATCTGAAAGAAAACCAAATATTGCATTAATACAAAGACCTAATTTATACAGGTATCGATCTCGAAATATTCAAACAAAACCTGAAACATGTTACCCAGAATCATCAGACAACTGATCAATTTCAGAGTGTGTCTCTATCTAATTAAAACTTTCAATATATGTTCCCTGGAATATTGCTTAAATCAGTACACCAAAGAAAATTGTGATTTTACCCACTAATCTCTACTAAACTATTAACTAGAAAACCTATTTCTTTTTAAAGTAAATTAATAGTACAAATATTACATACTTGACTTGAACTGGTTCTCTACCATCTTTACGAACTATTTCTACTATAATCTGGTTGGGATCCATCTTGGATAAATGGGACTCATCAGCTATATTTTCTGGAAGAATTGCTGTAAATAAATAATCATAATAAAAATAATGAACTTTTTGTTTTACATGTGTCAGAATTGGAATGGTTCTATTGTACTTTCAGCCCATGGGAAACTTGAATCACTCGTCTAAATTCATCATGTCATTATTTTACTAGGCTTGGCCATAGCCAAAGTGGGCAAAGTGAATAAGCACAAGTCGTTTTTGTCGCACGATTCGATAAGGTAGATTAGCTATTTTGTGCATTTGTGAGCCAGGACGTACAATTAGGCTAATCGGTGCATTTGTGAGACTGATTGGGCTAATCGAGCTAAGCGTCCCAGTAGGTGGTTAGGCTATTCGATTAGGTGTGACATCATTGGTAATTTATACTATTGGCTAATTATATCAATGTTATCTATATAAACATAGATGTCATTGATGTCATTGGCTAATATTAAAAGACAACCTTCTTTTGTTGACAGTGCAGTCAGCCATATTGCCTAATCGCTGGTATCACATTCATAGGCCACTGCAAATCGTACCTAATTGTACTAGCAAATCGAAACCTAATCGAATCGGGTGACAAAAACAACTAAAGTTACATACTTACACGAGTTTTTGACAAAGGTGTGAGCAGCAAGCAGTTTTAATGTATGGACCTCAAATAAAACTGGATGGAAGAGCAATTCTCTAGCTGTGGGACGTTTAGTGGGATCAGGGTGAATACATTTAGACAGGAAATCCTACAATATAGAAACAAATTTGATAGAACTCATATCAAATAAATATCAATAACTGAACAAATTAGTAGACATATTAAAATGGAAGTGGATTTTATTTATACTTCGTAATGTTTTCTGTATGCATTATCTTACATGTTACAACTTACTATACATCTGTAAGTTTTTAAATGCTATATATGTAAAATATATTACCTTTTGTAGTGGAATTTCTATACTTTGTAACGTTTTCTGTATAGCTTCATCTGTAACATGATTTCCATTATCACTACCATGTATACCAAGGGCAGCCATCTACAATAAGAAAATACTTTCTTTGTAAATTTGTACTTTGTGATGTTAAGTGTGAATTTTGTTCAATAAGGGAAGCCATATTTGATAACTAAAAGAGGCATGCGTATGTTAGTCAACAAAATAAAGAGGGAATTTCATAGTTAAAAAATCAACTTTCAATAAGTATTCTCCTATATTGTCTATTGAAGAGACTACACGAACAGGCTTTGCTTCCGTCGTTGTTAACATACAGATACATAACAAATCTTACCTCTAAGGCACACATACCAAATGAGTAAATATCAACAAACACGGTCACAGATCCTAGCGAAAAAAGGCAAATAATATATCACAATATGCATATTTTCAGAAGTTTTTTTTTAAACTTGCTAACATAATTTGATAAGTGAAAATTTAGGAGCATAACTTTCATGAATGTGATCCAAGCTGATATTGTTTTCGGACATGAACTTATGTTATATGGAAATTTGCCATGTTTGCAATTAAATACTATTATCATTCAAAAATCAATCTGAACTTTCATTTTCAAAATCTGGAGATGATGTTCTTCTACCAGAAAGCCCAACAGATAGCAAATTAAAAATCTTTAAAATCATATATCTTTATGAAACATAAATTGGGTTGTTTAACTTAAAAAATTCAATTATCTTAAAGAAATTTCACGTTATTTGTTCTGATTTTTATCTTATCTAAACTTCCTTTTATTTATTCTTCTAAGGTAAAATGAAATTCAAGAAATTAATTTTTTGAATGTGTAAAATGATGTTCCTTAAATCATTTTTAGAAATAATCCTTAAATAAAGAAAATGTAACAACTAAACAGGTTAGTAAAGAACATGGTTTGCAGGTGCAGGAAGACAGATAGTTTCAAAGCAAGGTTACTTCGAAAAAATATTAAGAGAAAAACAAATTGACCATCCCCAAATCAACACAAGAGTTTTCACTCAAAAAATAATAAAACTTCTGCAACCGCAATAATTTGATTGGACAAAGCTCCATGAAAAATAACAAAACTTACAGATGAGCAATTTTCAATACAATCTTACAATAAACAAATAAATATATATACTTTGATAAATTTCTCAAATATACTGTTTAAAATAATAAAATCATTTTTGAGATTTCATTCAATGAATAGCAACTATATAATAAAGATTCATTAGTAAAAGCATGAAAATTGCTACATAGAGAGGGATGGGGCACACAGATAGAGTGGCCCACCTTTGTGGCTGGTGTTAATAGAAGTTCTTGGCGTCCCATGCTCTGACTTACTGCCGTATTCTGGGGAAATACAGTGCATATTCTTCAGATCTTCACGATATGTCTTCACATGAGTATGGATAGCATCAGGAGCAACTGAAACAAATAAGCATAATGTTCAAAACATCATTGTGACTTCTGCAATTAAACTAAGGAAGTTCTGCATCATTTAAAATATATTGTTCCCATTTCTACCTTGCTATTCTAAATGAATAACAATCAATAAAAGCAGAGAAGTAATGTCTATTTTGATCATGAAGTAGCTGAACCTAGTTGGTTTGAAGACATAAGATGCCTTCTTCAAAAAATTTATTCACAGATTAATTGTGGATAATGTTAGCTCCACAAAGATATAATTCGAGTTTATGATATGTTTTCATTTTATATAACTGAATAAATGTAAAATAATTTTACATAATAATTACAACCAGGTTATAAGTGCGTCAGATTTGTGCAAATGGTGGCTCCTTTAACTGGGGTTGCGCCCCTTGGTGGAAATGGCTCAGACAACCACTATTTCTAGAATATTCAGACAACAATATACATTTAAATTGTCTGAACTATTCCACATTATTGTGAATACTTAGAAAGAGGTTATTTAAAAGATAAATCCAAAGAACTTCAATCCATACCTGATCCTATTTTAATCAAACCATTGTGTTGTATAAAGATGGTGTCACAGGTCAAATTACCATGAATGATAGGTGGATCACAGGAATGTAAATAACTACAATAAATATAAAACAAAGAGGTCAGTCCTGAAAATAACCATAGCAAAACAATTGATGAGTAACATAATTTAATCTTTCATTTCATGACAATATAAATCACACACTACCTTATTGAGCTCATGTAGAGGATTTTATATTGTCATAATTGAAAGATTTCACAGTCAACAGTCAAGCAAAATTCACCTTGCCTTTTTGAAATGTAAAACATTCACATTTAGACCAAAATTTTGCTTTCTTTTTTGCATGATGGAGTAGTGCAAACATCAGAAGAAACATTTTAAGTCAAATGTTATGAATTACTTTTCATCAATGGCAGAGTGATTTGAGCTTGATGAGACACATGGAGACAACAGAATACAGATGATCGATCAAATAACCTTACCTCCTTATACAAACCATAAATTAAAACTATTTCCTTTTCTACTGTCAAACTATAGGTGATCTTAAAGCTTGAAACAAACTAAAGATCAACTTATATCAAGACAAACAGATCATCTTGTTACTTACAAACAAAATTAATCTGTCAATAATAAGGGTGTAACATGCTCAGATTAGCAGTAACAAATACCTTCACATTGCTTTGATAACTTACCTCAAAGCAGATAATATTTGTGTACACCATCGTTTCCATGCCTAAAACAATACAAAAGCAAAATTAGGACACAATTTATCGAGGTATTTCTTAGAATTAGTCGTTGTTCCAATTTGGAAGACAAAATTCTAAGAAATACCCTGTAATAAATGAATTGAGTCCAGTTTAATTCAAGATTGTTCTTACCTTGAGAGGGAATGGTTTGTTGTTCTTTTTGGTCTTCTTTAGAAACTGTTTCAATGAACCTGATGACATGTACTCAGTAATAAAGATAACCTAAATATATCAATAAGGTATACCATTAAAGAAGATAGCTAATTGTTATCATAATTTCCATTTGTTTTATGGGTTTCAGACATGTGCAACAAACAACAAATTGAGTTCATAACAATAAAACTAAATAAAACTATAACAGTTGTTCAACTTTCACTCACATGGAACTGCTTTTCATTTGTCCAAAATCTGATTTTTTTTTTAAAGTGTAAAAAATGAGATTTATGGTACCGTATCATTTAACATCAACTTGAATGAATATCAATCTACTCACTCTAGGCTTTTCACTTTTGGAATCAGTCCAATATTTGTGAAACTTGATAATGTTGGGATGATCTAATTGAATCAAATTATCAAACACTCTCCGGATCTTATCCTGAAATGAATGTAATTCAATAGAAAATTCTCAATCTAAGCTGTTTTGAACTGTAATTGTTTGTATAATTCATAGTTTTAGGCTCCTGGCTTATAAGTTCAGCAGTAAACTTATGTACTGACCAATTCTTGAACTTTGTTCAAAGGGACAGATCAATCACAAGTTTGTAGTAATAGAATTTGTTATTACATCAGCATTAATTTTTATACCAGATCACACGCATTGTAAAATATGCCAAAATCTACTTACCTGTTGGGCTTTGAAGTCTCTTTTCTCAGAAAATTGAACCTCATTCCATACTACCTCCACACCTTCCTCTGTATCCATTGCCAGGAAAGCATTATCAATTCCAGGTACATCTCTTTGCTCTACCTGAAAAAAAAAGTATTTCATAATATCACATCCTATATTCACTAAAATATTAACTGCATAAAACTATCAAATAAGTTTCAGTTTTAAATCCTTGTATTTTCAACCCCAATTCAAGTAGTTTCCTAAGTAAAAAGGTGTTGGTCATTTATCAAGTTTGATATGTGTGATGTTTTCATTTGTATTCTTACAGATTGTTAATCACTGAGTAAGTAGTAGTACTAATTTACACAATTAAATGCTCAAATGTCTCTGTAATACAGGTGCTAAAAAAATTTCACAACTGCCAAATGGCCAGGATGTATTTGCATATTTGTCTTCAATATCGATGTGTTAAAAGGAATACAGTATTGTAAATGTTCATTTAATAATCTCACATTGCCCTTAGATATTGTATAAGCTTAGGCTAATAAAAAATATTATTTCTTGTTATGCTACTGACATGTGTCACTGACATATTCTTAAGCTTAATTCATATAAAATTGCTTGCCAAAACGTGCATATAAAATCACAGATGTATTGCAATATTATCACAGATAATGAAATGAAAATGTAAGTTTCATAACAGTAGCCTACTAGGCCTAAACTGGCCTAAAGCCATATGAAGGGATCAAACTAGCACCCTACCTAACCCCAGTACCCTTCCCCTACACAGTCCTTCACTACACTCTCTATACAGTAAAACTGAGAAGTATTATTTTAGAGGTTAAACCAAATGTACTTTGCAATCAATACTTATGCAATGTCTCAATATCAAAGGTCAAGACTTTGAGCTCAGCTGTCATACTCAACAGCATGAATTCCTTAATGACAAATAACGTCATCATGACCAACCTCTTCACGTCGTTTTTGCCACCTTCCACAAGGGCTTTCTTCCAAGACTTCGCTTTCATCTTCTGACTCATCGCCACTATCGGTTTTGGGAGGATGGTTTTCTTGGTCTGCCTCCGTCATTATTTCAGGCGGTTTATGCCTAATTAAAAAGTTTCAAGGGGTTGATCTTGTACACACAACAGATATCACACAAAATTTCAGATGTCTAGATCTCTGGCATGGCTGGAAAGACGTAGTCAGCTGTCAATCAAAATGTGTATAGTTTTTACTGAAATTTGATAAGTCAAAAATCAGCATTAAGATTTGAAAAAAAATTATTTGTCATAAATTTTTATAAAATCAACATTTTCTTTCGTATTGGTAACATAAAGGGGAATAAATGCAATAAAATTATTTTTATTTAAAATTCTAAATGAAACGCACTCACTTAATTTATCCAATAAAACGTTTCACACTGAGTATTACCGAAGAATTCAAATATCACGTGACAAGAAAAGATCACCCGCGAAGGAAAACACACGTGGGGAATGTGTTTTTATTTGTTAAAATTATGACATTATAATTATATTCAAAGAAACAACTTCATAAAATATGGGTGCTTATTTGACCCAACCAGTTACCGACAAAGTGTCAGAAGATAAAGCCTTCAAGGGCATGACATACGGGGCTTCATCGATGCAAGGATGGAGAATAACTCAAGAAGTGAGACAATTTTTTAATTCATTTCATTTTAGACGATAAAGGCTTACTAATAATCTGTGTAGAGACTATCTAGTCATAGTTTTATTAACCTCAATGTCTAATAAGTGATCCTATTCTCTGAAGCTGGGTGGTTTATTGAGTTCAACTCTTAACAGGTTGACTTATTCAGTTATTGTCTAGATCTCACTGTTTAGACCAGTCCACAGAATCACATTGCACTCATCATAGTCATTGTCATATAGATTTTTGTATAATTATATGAATATCAGTTCTAAAATTTTCTTTGATTTTGAACAAAATGCCTACAAGTGAAAATAATATTTTATGGGAATGCAACAATTTAAGGGGCATTACATACAATTGAAATTTTAGTATGAATTTGCTATTGACTGAAATGGCAAATAAAAATTCAAATTTGAGCTTAAGACTATAGCAGTATAGGGGAATATTGATATTTTGACATAATATTAATTTGTATATCCAGTTGGTCGAAGTGTTGTAATATTGATGAAATTTGGATTTTAACATAGATCTAGCTCAGAAATAGAGTTGTGAATTTCTGTTTGTCATTTATAGTACCACTTAAATACATAATGTATCTTATTTCAGGATGCTCATAACTGTTTGACAGATTTTGATGAATCATCTGATACATCACTTTTTGCAGTATATGATGGTCATGGAGGTACATAGAATTTTTTTGTTGACCTTATATGGATTTAAATCCAATCCACCCCCTGCCCAGCTTACTGTACATAAGACAAGGATCCCAGACTGCCTCTTTTTAGAGGAATTCCTCTATTTTCCTGGCTGTTGGTATTTTTTTTTATTTTAAAATAAAACCTTTTGAAATTTAGTTTTAGGAATGAAAAGATTTCTGTATAGGAAATGGCTGCCAAAGCATCTTAAAATGGTTAAATCTCCCCCTATACCTCACATGAGTCTTTGGCCCTCTTTACCTTTAGCTGATATTTTCCATTTCCTCTATTTTTTTCGTTCCTCACTGGGATCCCTGATAAGGCGAATGCATCACAAATCTGTCCATAATTTTAAGGATTTAATTGAAATCAGCTTCTTAGCTAGATATTTCTATCAAATTTGTCTATGTATGCTTATCGAGATTGATGTGACTTCATTCTTTATGTAAATGTAACTATTTATAATGATATTTTGATTTGTAATTACCTTGACTCATTTTCAAATTATGTAACCTGGTTTAAAACTGATTATTTATTGGTTTCAATAGGTTCAGAAGTTGCGCAATATTGTGCATTATATCTACCAAAATTTATCAAAAACCTCTCTGAATACGAAAAGGGAGATCTAGCAGAATGTTTCAAGGCAGCATTTTTGAAATTCGATGCAACATTAGTTGACGAAGAAGTCATAAAAGAATTAAAAGTTTTGGCTGGTGATGATGATGGTGGAGATGAAGATGAATGTAAGTTTTTTTTAACTTTTTTTTGTTTGTTTTGGAGTGATAGTCATCTGATTACTGACATTAGATTACAGCTTTCATTATTTACTACCTATATACTTTTTTATCATAAAAATTTTACATGCATTAAAATGTATGTTCTTAAATACCATGATACATTTGATATTGCTGTATAACCCTATTCTCAATATTGTGTCACATTGTGTTTGGTCCAACAGACTGTGCTTTAAAAGATCCTTTGACTGTACTTTAAAAGATCCTTGACAAAAGTAACTATCTTGCCATTGACACCTACTTATGTGCTACTAATGATTTTGTATCATTTTTAGCATCTGCCACACCATGTGTACGTAGTGAAGCTGAAATGTTAAGAGCCGAAGCGAATATGCCCTTAGATGAACTATTATCAAAATATGACAATTTACCACCAGGACTTCCAACAAGAAATCTACGAAAAAGTGAAAATATTGCATCCCCTATGATCCGTGCTAAACAGGGATTATCTTCAAATACTGAAGTTGGAGGAAGTTCCGATTGTGTGTCTAGTAGTGATTCAAATAATAGTAGTATAGCCATATCGCTTGATAGTAAGCTTCTCACTAATGGCCATGCTGACAATGAAAATAACTTAAATAAAGAAAAGGAAATTCAAGACAGTTTGAGTTGTAAGAGTGAAAATGACTCTAAAATTAAGGAGGAAAAAGACTGTGAACCAAGTTCCACCACTGACAAGCTGAAATCAACCACAAACAAATCTGATTCGAAGTGTTCATCAAAAGAGAGTTCAGAGGTTTGTATGCATTGTTTATTTCTTATGTGTTTAGATACTATATGTCTGTTTATTTGCTCAGTCAGTGTGAGTGCTCTTATCCTTGCTTTTTATTTAAAGATTTTCATTATTTTTCACTGTATTTTAAAAGTAGATATAAATTTTTTAAATTTATTTCAGGCAAACTGTAAAACCTCTGAAGCTGATTTATCATCATTAACAATATCTTCATCATCTGTAGGGAGTAGTTCTAGCAAATACTCAACAACTGGTGTTTCATCTTGTAGCAGTAGTAGTGATTCTGGGATCACATCCTCCAAGGATTTACCACAATCATCCACCAGTCCATCAAACAGTCATAGTGATGTTGGCTCGAGTTCAAGTGGGTCAACATCTGGTGGCTCATCATCTGCTGTAGGATCTAGTTCTTCCGGGCTCGGCTCGAGTTCCTCTGGCAGTTCATCTAGTGTAGATAACAGCTTGACAGGTAACTCATTAGGTGGGGGATCAAGTTCTGCTGGTGGTAGTGGTTCATCATCAGATGCTGGTCCATCAGGTTCTGGCAGTGGTAGTTCCAAAGAAAAGAAGTCTGTCGTCAGTATTGAATTTGGGGACGATGATGACGAGGATAGTGAAGATGAAGATGAAGAATATGCAGATATGGATAGGTAGGAAAGATGTAGTAACATGGTAAATTTTTTTTAGATGAACTGAGTTTTTTTGCGGATATGAAGGGCTAATCAGTTATATTTAAAATGAATAGATTTCTTGAGTTTGCTTATAATGCTTATATGCTTTCCAGTGATGAAGATGATGAAGAAGAAGATGATGAGGAAGAGGAAGAAGTAGGTGAAGAAGAAGAGAATAGTGATCATCCTTATATGGATATGACTAATGAAGAGGTGAGTACTGATTATTTCAAAATTAGGGCTTAAACCAGGAGTTTTAATCATTATTTGGTTTATTTTGATTGGCATTTTTATAAATCATTTTTGATCAATGGAGTTATGGTCAAATAATAAACAAGCTATGTACAAAAATAATTACTCTGTAGAAAACAGATAATTTTTTATTTCTGATATTTATTTTAGCCTGGATCAGATAGTGGTTGTACTGCATGTTTAGCACTGATGAGAGGTAAACAATTAATAGTAGCCAATGCTGGAGATTCAAGATGTGTCTTATCAAGGGATGGTCAATGCGTTGAGTTATCGTTTGATCATAAACCAGAAGATGAAATAGAAAAGAATAGAATAGAAAAGGCTGGTGGCAAAGTAACTGCTGATGGTCGTGTTAATGGTGGTTTGAATCTCTCTAGAGCTTTAGGTATGATACCTCAGAACAGTTATGTCATATCAGTACTACCAGCACATGAAAATTGTTAACAAATTGAAATTAGTTTTGGCACATTATATCAATGAATTGATACATTGTGATGCAACATGCATATCGTATCCTTTAGTGATGATCTTCACTTGATGATACTAGGCATTCCCGATAAAAATGTAAATCATACACTAAATGTCATTTACATGCACAAAGAATCTCTTTAATGTACCAATCCAGTATCAATGCCTATCGACAATAAATTACTAGTTGTATAATTCTATTGAAGAATACAGTAGCGGTAGTGAAAAACCAATTTTTTTTCTTTATTTTAACCCACATCGCATTACGTATTGTTTAATAGCTTTCTCCTGATACAAATTGTATTGTGACCTGATTGGAATTACCAAGTACTTAAACGAAAGCTTACGATTTGTTTTTGCTTTGTCTTTGTAGGAGATCATTGGTATAAAAGAAATGCTGATTTACCAGCAGAAGAGCAAATGATATCAGCTTGTCCTGATTTACAAACAGTTAATATAGAAGACAATGATGAATTTATTGTACTTGCCTGTGACGGTATATGGTAAGTATTTTAACAGTTCGTATATTCATATCATTTTGACTTCTGAGAAGCCAAAATGAATGATTTCAAAAGCTAGTCATGTTTGTATTTTGCGCACAATCTGACAAGGTATGTCAACAAATACCAGATGTTCCTGAATCACTCTCATATTTTTTTTTGGGTTGTGTGCAACTTTAAATATATTTTTCTAAAAATTGAGTGTACATAAGTGTTTTAGCCCTTATTTTGTTTTGTTTTTCTAGGAATTATTTGTCTAGTCAAGAAGTTGTTGACTATGTTAGAGAAAGATTAAAATATGAAGAAAAAAGACAGAAACCATCACTGATTTGTGAAGAGGTGTGTAATGTTCAAATTTTGATGTTCAATGTCTTTCATTGGTTTAGATAATAATAAGACATCCTACCAGTATGACTTATATCTATTTATCAACAGACGATACTAGATATTGCTGTTATTTTAATAGGATGTAGTATTTTAGCTGTCCATTGAAATTTCATAAGACATTGTATCTGATTTGCATCAAATTGAAAATGCATATTTGTATGGATGAGATCTTATCTTATGTGCATGATGAAATTTGTCTTCTGCTAAAATCACATGGCAATGTGGCAGTGTTATTCTCGCTAATACACTACTTTTATAAATGTATTTCTAAAACCAATCAGTGACCTTTATGCATGAATATTCGAGCAAATAATTAATGTCTATTCTCTTTTCTGTTTCAGTTGTTTGACTATTGTTTGGCACCAAATACATTTGGTGATGGTACAGGTTGTGACAATATGACTTGTATTATTATTGTTCTAAACCCTAATAAGGAACCCATTATCACTAGAAAACGTTCAACTGAGGATATAGACACTTCACAAAGTGATGAGGTTCAGTTACCCAAGAAACTGAAAATAGATGAAGCAGAAACAAGAGACTGATATTAAAGAAAGTAATGATTGTGAATCAAGTGTAAATAAATAATTTAACTTTCTTTGAATGCTTTTTGTAAAAATGTATATCCCCCTTTTTTTAAAGCAGACTGTTTCCTGTCAGAAAATACACTGATAAGTTGATATTCTTGTCTTAAATGCTACCAATAAAAAAAAAATGAAAACCTTTATCTGATTTTTTTTTGGAATAAATTCCTGAATTACGATGACAAATCTGAAGATATTTTTAGGCATGTATAAGCTTACCATTGCATTATCTGTCAGAAGTTTCTGTAGTTATAGAAATGCCTAAACAAATGTTGCAATAGCTGCGAATAATATCTTAAGGCCTTTGAGTTAGCTACACCGATAAATGCTTATTTTGAGTGGAATTGCAAGATGTCTGACTGAAAATAGGATTACTGCAAATAGCATGTCATCAGTGTCCCTTTTACCACTTTACAATCCTGTAGGTGCAGATTTTAAAGCTATGCATTTTCAAGCTGCAAATATTTAATATCATCAGAGTTCAATATGTTGGGTTTTGAGAATTTAGGAATTTCAGAAAACACAATAAGGAAAATTGGATTGGTGCCCATGATTCTCACTTGTAGGAATAAATATAAAAATATAACAGATGTACATGAAATTAGTTCTATTTTTGTAATCAATACAAATTTTACACGACAATATATCAAAACATTTGATTCTCTCATAACTAAATCAAGATGAATGGATGAAATAATATAATATTACCATATAAAGGTCCATATAAAATTTTTGCATTTATCCAAATAAGTTGTAAAAGTCAACATTGGATTAAAACCACATCCAAATATTAAACCGTCTCTTTACCACAAGCTCTTTTCTCACAAAATCTCCAAAGTGAAAAAAACTTTCCATTCAATTTCTATGTGTAACAGTTTCTAGGTCTTAAAAGCCAAAATGCTATGTAAAGAACCTTGATTTAATAAAGAGGTTATACTTCAATAAGTTTAATATTAACAACAAATTGAACACTGATTATACGATGTCTGATCCACTATATTCTCATCAAATTCCTAGTTGTTGACCATAGTACAAAAAGAATAGCAATATAATATATCAAGGGGTCATTTAGACTCCTTTTTTTAATCCTCAAATCTGACAATTAGTTATAATTCTTAGTATGATCTAAACACATGGTCTCGCATTCAAATTTTGACTGAAGTATAGTGTTAAAAAGCAGCAAACTTGGTTTCAGTCAAAAAAGAAAGCCTCATTCTCATCAAAGAAACATTAAAAACATAAGTCTGAATTAAACTTTTCAACACTTACTTCATATTTGTAGTTTTTGATGAGATTCATTATAAACAATTTAAGCTAAATTCTAACAGATTTGGTTTATCTTTAACCAATCAAAACTTGGATCATTTACAATCAAGTGAATAGACCTACATTTAGTACAATCAAAAACTGACTAATACTGAGTGTTCTGGTCAAAATTTCAGTTAGCCCATGTTTAACATATCTCAACAAAACACAACAGTTCATTGAGCCCCAGTCTAATGGGACAAAAATGAAAAGATAACAAGACAAGAGACAACCATACATTGCTAATGTATATATATATATAAAAAAATTTGACACACTAAGTTTGATTTCAAAAGACGACAAATGATTTCTTAGTAGAAAAAAACTTTCTTCACATATTATTTTAGATTAACTTTCCATTTATTCTTCTTTTTGGAATGTTTACCATTAACAGAACCTGAAAATGAAAAGAGGTTTGTTTTTATTCTCAAACTCAAGAAATGATTTGGCTTTTCAATTACAAAAAAAAAGAATAACATAAATAGTGTTTTGCAATTCTACTTCATATTAATGAGGCCTAGCTTACAAGGTTAAAAAGAAGCCTTTGATGCATCACATGAAACAAAACTATTTTACAAGGTCAAGTTGTTATAACTTTAGTTCACAAAGGATACTTTGGCCACATTGACATCAATTTAAAAGTATAAACAACCTCTTCATATATACCGGTACTGCACTTACCAGATGACTGATTAGAGTTGGAATCATCAGATTCATCATTAACTTCAACTTCAATATCTTTATCTTCTTCTTCTTCCTCTTCATTTTCAATATGAGTTGTACCAGGTGGTAAAATTAATGCTACATAGCGGTGTGGTTTACCAGGATGTTTAGACACAGAATGATGTTTTATCTTCCATTGACTATCACTTTTAAAACTACAATAACCACAGCTCCAATATAAACTTGATGATACAGTTGGTTTAGCTGGAACTGCTTTCTGCTGAGCAAATTTAGGTGCTGGTTTTGGTCTAGTAGATCTTGGTGATGATACAGTTTGTACTCTACCAGAACTACTATCATCATCTAGATCTGGTAAAATTTGCATTGCTGCACTTGGGTTAGCATATTGCTGATAAAGTAAATCTTGGTCAGATTGTATTTTAGTAGATTTATTATTTGATTTTGTACTATTGCTGTATCCTTGTGATCTTTGATTGGTTATAGTGCCCGGATAAAGTTTGGGTAATTGATTGACTGGAATAGATTCAGGAATGTGGGGCTCTTCTGTAACAGTTCCATGATCATTATTCTCCTCAATCTCTTCTACTTCCATGTCGAAGAATTCATAATCATTATCATTTGCAGGTTTATCAGATTTACTATTGGAACTTGATTGACTGTCGTCATCATCAGCTTCATCATCAGTATTTAATTTCTGGATTTTAGAAGACGACTCTTCATCATCATTTCCTTTCCTTTTTCTATCATCACTTGTTGCTTTTGGTTGTTTGTTGACTTGAAGATAATCTGTTAGGACTGTACAATACTTTAAAGATGTTGCCATACAAGTAAATTCTTCGTGACTTTTAGCTGAATGTTTTATGACACAGGCTCTAGAATATGATTGATAGTCACAATATTTACAGGTAAAACGATGATCTTGTAAATGATACATCAATGCATGTTTACTGGTAGTTGAATATGGACAGAAATTACACCAATAATATGTTAAGTCTATGTTTGCTGCTATTTTACCCCCTTTTGATGAAAACATTGCATTGCAGGACACAGCTGATATCATGTCATGTTTATTAACACGGAAGAGCTTTTCACTTTCTTTATCATTTAAGTCAGATTCCATGACGGCAGTATTTAATGCTGTTTTGTCTCGATCAGCTATAACAGACTTTCTGGTTGGACTACGTGGACGCAATAATCTACCAGAAACCAAATCCTGTTCTTTTCTATCCTGGGTTTTAGTGATTCTTGCTTGCGACTGCTGGGAGACTAGAAATGTAGTCTCACCCAATCCAGCTCCCTCTAGCCTCCTTGAATCAAATGTTCCTCTTGGAGCTCTTGAATTTGGTTTGTAATTAATTGCATCATTCTGAGCTAAAAGCTGTTCATTTTTCTGTAACAAACTATCCACCACATTACTTAGTTTAGGTGTACTTTTATTTTTTGACATCGCGTCACGAATTTCAGATTTTGCTTTCTGGATAGCTAAACTACTTCTGTATTTTTTCTTAGGAACTGGTACTGGAGAGCTGTTTCTTGAATCACCTGATGATGGTTCATAAGAATTATCTGATGGCTCAGCTTTTATATCATATGAAGCCATTCAAATTTGTTACTTCTTTCTCTGAAAAAATATAACAGACAAGCTTAGTAGCATAGCTCCCTCCTTCTACTTCTTAACCATGAAAATTACATGTTCATAATGATTTAATGTATACTACCATGGGTAATCAATTTGTTTCAACTTATATTATTTTGATGTTAGTAGAGTAGGCCCATTACTCATTCTTAAAATCCTTCATTTTTTTACCAAATGAAATGCCTTCAAACATGGCTTTGAAATAGAGAACAGTTGCATCAGGACTTTATTTTTAACTCAACATCACAATTATTATGACAGTCCGAATGAGTTTATCGTTCAAGGCACGCAACCAAGTTTTAATGACTATCTATTTGCGGTCTGGAGCCAATTACTTTCCCACGCAGTGGAACGTACATGATAATTTTCAATATGGAGTCGTGGAGAAATTGTCTGTCTGGATACTTTTTATTATTAAATTAATACAAGATAAATTGAGCTTGATATTTTCTATAAAAGCATCTTATGATCATGATGTGACTGTGACATCCAACGTTTTCATGCTCGGCGATAGGTTGACTCATTAACAGTTTCCGCTTGTACTAAGATTGGATCAAATCTAGGTCACACAGTCGCGAGTAGCATTGTTTCCAACACCTTTTACTGACTGGTGGTGGCTCGACCCTCGCCTGTGTAGACATTCTTTTACTGCAGTTTTACAGATAGGCATTCAATGTGCACACTGACATATGTGTCAAATCATATCTGTAAACAAGAAAATGCTCACCTTTTAAAATTAAAGTCTAAACTTCTTTACTTCACTATTAACTTGATAATATTATCAAGCGAGTTCACAATGATGTCGGCCAATGTAGTCGAGACTGATTCGCTTTGTATAGTAGTTGCCTTCGTCATCGTGACGTCATCAAGATTCGTTCTCAGTCAGATTACGGGTTGGTTTGGTTGGCCTCGTAGCAATCGATTCATACATAACATATTGGTCCAGAGTTGTCATTGTATTCCCATTTGTATGATGAAAGTGAAAAAATTTTTCTCCTGGAACTCCCAACATGCTTGAAATAACTATAATTCAGACATTGATGCCATGCAGCCAATATCAGCTGATGAGAGAACCTAGCTATTTTAAAAGCGGGCGCATTCCACGAAGGATCAATAAATTGATTTAGTGAACGGGAACGCATCAAAATCATACTTTGCAAATTATAGAAATGGAGGAAAGGCCTAGCTATTGTTGCGCAGGACAAATGCGCCAACCCATCTGACCCCCACTCCCCCACTCCCCCACTGGCGCTGCCTCTGGTATATTGGTATATTAAGTTTGTTGGCAGACTGACTGGCTAGGCGAGGACCTTAGATACAACCATATTCCGAGAGGGCAACAGAATTCTATATATGGTAGGTCCATTCCTGGATGGGCATTTTTGAACAAGTGTCTGGTCTGAAAGACCAGTTTAAAAAATATAGGAACAGCGAGTATGATAAAAACACAATAAATATTATACACAACAAAATAACTATCCCACAGGTACAAATTTTAGAGTGGTTGAATTTCTAGGTAACATTTCTTCCAAATCTGCTACAGTATAAGCAATGACAGCCCAAACAGCAGAGCACATGTCCATAACATGTGGGTCCTGCACTGTCATTGTGTCCCCATTTGTATGGTGAAAATAAAAATAGTGCTGGTTTTCATTCAATAAATTTCCTCCTGGCACTCCAACATCCATGAAATAACCAATGTCACCACCAGCACCACTTTCTGAAAGCTTAGAGGCATTGATAGGTTTTAAAAGTTCAAGAACCTGCTTCATTATTTGTCCAGCCTGTTTACTTCCACCAAAGGTTAACCCATCCGGAGTAAATACACCCTCATCTGATTCAAGTACCAGGTCAAATTTATCAGCTTCGGATTTGTGAGCTTCATAATATTCTCTCGATCCTACAAGGCCTTCCTCTTCTGCAGTCCATAATACTGCTCTCATTGTTCTCTTTGGTCTTAGGTTCAGCTGACGAATGATAGACAACGCTTGCCAGGAAATGAAAGCACCGCCTCCATCATCCATGGCACCTTGACCAACATCCCAACTATCCAGATGTCCACTGACTAAAACCACTTCATCTGGATACTTGCTGCCCTTAATTTCTGCAACTGTGTTTCTAGAATTAACAGATGGCAAAAGTTGTGCCTCCATCTTCAAACGAATCCTTATTTTCTCTCCTCGTTGACTCATTCTCCACATCATTTCAGCGTCTTCCACAGTGATGCAAGCTGTGGGTATCTTTGGAACTCCTGATTGATAATCTTGCCAACCTGTGTGGGGGCTACTGATCGACAATGGTGTAACACTTCGTATCAAGGATGCTACAGCACCATTTTGAGCTGCTCTGGAGGCTCCCAATGATCGGTATGCAACTGATACACCATAACTAACCCAGTCCTGATTAAAAACTACAATTTTCCCTTTGGCTTCACTGGCTTTTTCGTTTAACTCGTCAAATGTCTTAACTACCAATACATCTGCTTCAATACCATCTGGGGGTGTAGCAATACTACTTCCTAGCCCAAGCATTGGAAGATTCTTCTTCCTCGGTAGCAGTAGCACGGCTGATTCGTCTCCTCTCACCCAATGCGGAACTTGAGCCACTTCTCCGTGTACATTCTCAAGTTTGTCTTTACTCATTTCAACGAGCATGTAATCAATTGCATTTTCCAAATTTTGAGACCCGGCGATTCTATTTCCAAATTTGTCAGTAAAATTTGCTAATCGGTTATAACTTTGACCTTTCCCATTGCCATTTAAAGAAAAGTCTATGATTTGGTTGGCTACATCTGAATATGATCTAACTTCTCTCTGCACTGCATCAATATCCAAATGCTTGTTTAAATGTCGACTGTCACATTGGGTTAATAAGTTAATAAACAGGTACACTAAGAAGATTGGCGTTGAAAACATTTTGTCAACAAGACTAGTTATCCAGGTATATTTAAACAATAGGCCTACACTGCAAGTACTTTATACCATCATATTATTATGGTATATCTGATCTATATATACCTGAACATGTAGAATCCTGGTCCACACAGGTTTAATGACCCAGAAACACCTTTATCACTGTTTTGTTATCAACTCACGAGTGTGGTTGACGTTGGCCTATTCTTTCATTTAGGCTATTCTCAAGGTTTTTTGATAACAGCTCGCGCTTTTGATCGAAAGTGATGTTCACATAGGCCTAAGAAGTGAATTGTTTTGATTAAACATAGCTATAGGCATATTATAGTTTCGAATTTGTTGTCCCATATCGCCGGCATTACGCAACAATTCAGTAGCTAATTGATCTTTTCTGAAGAGCTTCTTAAATGGAATGTATAGTCCTGTATACAATGTATTTCAGGCCTATATATCTGGAACGTTTTACACAATGTGTGATAATATAATAAATAGAAGGAAATATTTATAGCCTATATAGGCATATGTATTACATGATGCATATATATAGACTATGTGTTACTACTACGCGTGAAATACCGCATCCATTAAAAATCGCGATATAGAAGATTCTTCAAAATAACAAGAAATTTAAGCGATTACTCTTGCTAAAATGGTGCCTGCACTATGATTTGCAAGACACGAGATTTCCTTTCCTTGGTAAGGCCCCTCCGAAAAATATGGTACTGGGAATTTCATACATCAATTCATAAGTTTAAAAACTCGAATGTGAATCAACGGTATAGTTTACTTATTATGTAATAAATAATTCTATTGTTGGTTACGCTATCACAGTAATTAGGTTACGTTTGTCAATCGTGATTACGAATACTGATATATTTTGACCAATGAGAAAGCAGTTAAGTAACTCCCTCGGTACTTCAACAGGGATGCGCCCATGAATAACAGATTTTATTTTACCGTTGTGTTATTTTGAAATCGTAATTATTGTTTTTACTCGCAAATGTGTTTATACAGATTCTCATGTCCGTCAGTATGACCAAATGTAGTTGTCATCAGATTTGTATTACTGAGCCATGCCCTTAATTTGTCTTTTGATTCACACTTAATCACTCAGTCACTGTCTTTCCAAATTCCAGTTCCACTCTCCTTCCACTATACTATGACTGTATTAAAAAAAAATCAAAATGAGACTTTTATGCCAATGGTTAAAGCATATCTTAGAAATTTTAAGGATTAGTGTTTTGCACTTCAACCCAAAAATGTCCCCAAATATGACCATGAAGGCAACATTTCAGTTTAGTTTTTAATTTTCTGTCAGCTTCAATTCCAATACTCTTTATCATCTATATTAAAACATTTAATAACATGTTTCTTTCAATTTGTTTACGTTTACGAAAAAAGCATCATAACAAATGATTTGATTTAATTGACTGAGATTTTCTAGAAAGATTTTAGGGCCAATTTTGATTGGACAGTATTTAGCTATAAATACGATGTTAGACCTAAAGTCTTTGACTTTAAAAATCTACCAATTAACTGCGACTTAACCATAATAGATTTCCTTGAGGTTTTTGTTTAACAATTAACTACCATAAAAAGTATTAACTAATTACAACATCTCAACTGATATTTTGGATCCAGATTACCTTTAATTTATATTGCCTTGCAATCTATGTCAGTACTATATAATCTTATTGTATAATCTTTACAGAGTCAATTCAGCATTTTCTTCTGTTTAATAAGCATTGATTTCTGCATGACTGTTATTAGTCTATGATCAGTGTTACAGTTTAATGCAATAGAGTTGGATAATTATTTTTCCCAGCTCAATTTCTAAACATTTATCTATATTTTCAGAATCAGAACAGTTTAAATTATTAGATATAAATGAAATACTAGCACCATGGAAACATCAATAAAGGATAGCCAATCAACATTGAAATCAAGTTCTGTATGGAAAGATGTTACAGACGATTTTATGTTGGCCACTTCTGACCTGCAACTTGGTGAACTTTTGCATGATTCTTCGTAAGCACTAATTTGTTTCATCCCAAGAGAATTTGAAACTATTCATTGGGCCTGAAACGATAAATATTAATGAAACTGGCCTATCAAAATGCTAACGGTTTGTTTTGTAGATATGAACACACACTCACTAAACTCGTTATTAGTATATCTGTATGAGAACACACTGTCTTTGGCTTAAATTCACTGCTTCAAACAGCTTTTTGGATAAAGTGAACCACAGTCTCATCTGTTTACCAATAAGGGAGCATTGTTTAAAAATGATGATAGTGTAAAGTAAGCTTATAATATTTAGGTCCATATTCCAAATTGTGTAAGAGTATTTTGTTTTAGGTTTGGGCTATTTGAGGCAATGTCAGCTATTGAAATGATGGACTCCAAGATGGATGCTGGTATGATGTGTAATCAAATAAAACGTAAAGTTCTTACATTTGAACAATCAATAGAGGTATGATATTAATGACAGAGTCTACTACTAACTCATTTAACGTACATTTCTGAAAGTTTTCCTTTTCAGAAATATATTGTTATAAATTGTTAATTTTAAAATATATTGAATGTTAAACTTCTTAAGATATAATGGAAATGTTCAAAAAAATAATTACCCTGATATTCATTCTAATTTAGTAGTATTTTGTAAGCCAATTGACATTCAGTGAAATGAACTATGTTTTCAGGCAGGTAGGGTGAAGATTACAGATGTGAGTTGTGAAGATAAGTTAGGAATCATTGATTCTACAATGGCCTGTTTGGTATGTATCTTTATTTTATTGCTGGACAATGCAACACTTTTAGTCAATAGATTTGGCTGTGTTGATATATCATAGCTCTTGAATTAATTGACCTTGATATATCAACCTGTAAAACCTTATATTCATGATAATTCTGATAGAAAAGAAAGCAATATACACTCAAGTAACATTAGTAATTTTACCAATAATTCGTTATACACATCATTTAGCGGATGTTTCTATTCTTGAACAAGATTCTTGGTCATTCTTTAAGCTTTGGGGTCGAATTACAAAGATTTGAATGATACTGAACCCACTAGTATAAACACAAGGCAGTGCTTGTTGCAGAACACCTGATGTCACCCTATGGCTGCGTTTGTGAATCTTACTTAACTTTCCTAGAGTCTCTGAAGCATATTGTTAATTTGATATATTTATAAGTAATATTATTTTACATTTAAAAACAACACATTGTAAGATGCATAATATGGTCATATAATTTAAATTTCAGGTGACATGGTTAGAAGGTCATTCCCTAGCTCAAACAGTATTTACTAACCTTTATCTACACAATCCTTATATTATAGAAGATAGGGTATTAAAGGCATTCAGTATCTGTATGTTAAAAATAGTGGATATTATAAGGATGAGAATTAATATAGCAAGTGTATTTGAAGAGGTAGGACAAATTCATTTATTAGAGATACAATAGCAATTCAAGATTATTGTTTTATTTAAAGAATAGAAATGTGTTGTAATAATTCTATATGAGACATGTTACCATTTCTTTTGTTGCTGTTCACATATTGTTTCATTGAGATGTATAATTTAGTTGCAAGAACACAAATACTATCTCCATGTAAGTTGGTCATTTTAGCATTTGCATCGACAATGTTGTTTTTATATTCTGTTAAGTCTTGGATAAATGCACCTTGTTAAGTTCTATTTTTGTCATTATAGGAAGATTTTCAACCAATGTCTTATGGATTCAAAATGGCGTTTGATTTGACAGAGACTAGGTGTTTAGGAATGATGAAAGAAGTAGAAGAAGAACTCAATAAAACTCTAAGAGTAAGTTTCTATTTTCAAAATGAGTATTTCTGTTTGATTCTCATTAACAATTTTGCTTCTCTTTTATTGTTTTGCTTTTTAGTGTTTTGAGAAAATATACAACACATGGTTATTTTAGGCAACCATGAACTTCCTTATAGAATGTATGATATACAGTATGATTTTCATTAAGAATTACATCCATCTTTGTGAGATCTCAAATAATTTGCCTCCATTTTTTTTGTAGTCAACAAGAACTAAACCTGGTGAAGAAAGAAATGAAGCACTTGAAAAAGAGGTATGTTGACATAGGCTTGTATCAAAATTCACACATATATACTGATGTTAATCAGAAATTGAAAGTTTCTTGCACTACAAACAGCATGCTGAAGTGGATGTATGTGGTTAATGCATACAAAATCACAAAACATAATTTGTTCTCAAATCTGTATCAATTTGATGAGGCTTAATCTAAAACCTATTGCAAAGACAAATTCCATATTAATCATGTTATTGATTATATATTTCAGCATAATTTAACATTAGCTTTATATACTAGAATAAAATTTTATAGACTGTTTTATTCACTCTTAGTTTTACTAGCAAAAGAAAAGGTAAGAGATTTAAATTAGTAGATATTTTAGTTTCCCTGAGATTAAAAAGTTAAAAATAAAGTCTAAAATATTTTAAGCCTGTTTTGAGGTTTATATTTGCCTTCACATTAAGATAAAAGGTCTCATATTCATATTGAGAAGAGTATAACATATGCAATAGTACCTTACCAATTATAATGATAGAAGTATTCCTGTGATAAACTTTAACCTTATGGACATATTTTTTAGGTAGTTATTGAAGGAATACCACAAGTTATTAAGTTATTGAGTCAACTAGATGAACTAATCCAGTCCATTCAACCTACCATTCAATATGGTATACAACCATCTGAACGAGAAGCAACAAAAAATGGTAAAGCTGTTTAACCACTTTTCAACATTGCATTGAGCATTATGCTTTTCTTAAACCCACATGAAGCTGAATGATATAAGCATCTATATATTTCAAGGAAAACTACACTATATGTGTCTGAATGTAAACAGCGACCATACATCAACTTGCCATTCCTTTTTAGTGTATCATCTACTATGAGCGTCATAACTGATTTCTGATGTTTTTCTTTCCTCAAATGCGTGTGTATACAGTTAATCCTGATAAAAAAAATTTCGGGCATAATTAGCATTAATTATTGGCAGATGCAAAAGTATGTAGTTTCCATTTTAGATTATCCAACTATAATGGGATTTGAACCTTTAATTAACCAGCGTTTACTACCACCAACATTTCCACGTTACACTGTAATCAAAGATCGTGATGAATCAATAGTCTATATTAAACAGTTAATACAGCATTTAAATATAGTTACATCATTACCAGATGTCATTTCATTACATACATTGATAGTAAGTATATTAATAACATTATTGCTTCATTACAGGGCTGTAACTACATCAAAGCAAAAAAGAAATTGTGTTTGAAAAATTTAGATATTCAGTTGATATATTGAATATTTGATGTGTACTGTAAACATTGTAATTGTTTGAGTCTATTGAAAGACATAACATAATTGCCTCTTAGAAAAATAAGTTATATCCCTGCTTTAGCATTAGTGTGATACAATTTTACTGCTATTTTGCAAATAGAATGAAAATATTTCACACTTTGTGTTATAACTTGATGTTCATGGTTCATTCTATTCAATCAAATTTTTACTATGGTAAAAGAGTCTAATCATCCATGCTTTTTGTATTACAGGATATGTTTATAGAATTCAGTAAATCTTCACCATGTGTTCTAGCTAGATCAGTCTTACAGGTAAACTCATTATCATTTCAGTAGTCAATTTTCAAAAGAGGTGAGAGTTCAACTAGTTAGATACTCATATCATATGTCTAGGTTTAGGTGGAGATAGTATTTTTGGATTTTCTCCTGGTGTAGTTGCAGGTCAGGGGGTTGACAATGAAAAAGCTTTTAGTTATATTAGTTGTAATATATTCTTAGTAGATAAGCAGACTTAAATGAATTACATACCACAATTAAGTATTTGAATATTCAATTTTTTTTTCAATATTCAAATTTATCATTTGCTAGAATAGGATATTAAGAATTGATGTTAATTTTTTAGTTAGCAGTATTACCTCAAAATAGAAGGATTTATGGTAGTCATACAGTTATAGATTTTATGAAAGAGACAATAAGAAATTTTATAGCTCCGCCAGCTCTGTCAACTAAGTAAGTTTTCTATTTTAAGTTTCATTATCTTGTTCTGTAAAATCAAACTTGATTTGCTAGCAATCTTCAAATTTATTTTCTGTGGTTTAATTCACTCAATCTGAATCTTATGATGTCTTTGTAAAAGATTTGTTCACTGATATTAACACTTAAATAAGGTTATTCACCTACATAAAGACTTGATGTTGTCAAATAATTGCTAGTTATGACTAGTTCACCAAGTCATCTAACTTAACAATAAATCATGGCATTCTGAATCATATTTTCATTCATTTGGTTATGTGGGGTAAATATCACAGAAATACTGAAAATCTGTATATGAAAAAAAAAAGCAGTAAGCACAATATAGTTTTTATGCATATTTATTTTTTTACTAGGTGTAGTCTATATAACAATTCTCAAGCTAAAGATTATGTTGATGCGTTATTGAATCAAGGTGTACGGCCTATACGTAATATCTTAGAAATAACTGGTCATAATAGAGCTAGACAGAGAGATAAATGGGCCCATATATTAGAAGAGCTGTCAAATTTACAAGAAGAGGTATGTTACTCTTATAAAAACATTTGGATAGTTTATGACAATATTTGCCTATTGGAGTTTGAAGACTGTGTTATTATCCTTTTGTTAGTTAACCATTTGAACACAAGCAGGCACATTACTGGCTGTATGAATACATCATATACTAAAGGCTGTTACCAAGTGATCTCCTATAACTTTAACATTATATGCATAAGTTTTTTCTTTGACATTTTTTCATAAATGATTCAAATTTATATGATTATGATTATTTTAGGCAGATAAAGTAGATGCTCTGCTTCATGGAATTCTGGTCAAAACTGAACCCAGTAGAAATCATTTAGCTTGTTTTGGTACTTGGGTATTATATCATTCTTTACAAGCTATGATACATTATACACTGGCAGGCTTTGAACTAGAGTTATATGCTACTTATGAATATCATTATGTTTATTGGTAAGTGAAATCTGACTTAATTTGATGTAAGTCATTTTCTAAGACTATGTATTCTGATGAGGATTTTGTATCCAAACATGATGACTCCTCTGTCTTTCATAAGTGTGCCTTCTGAGCTCATATACCTAAAAGTACTATTTTGGAATCTGAAAAAAGTCTAAGAGTCAAAACTGAACTTTATGAGAGAAAAAGTTCGGAAATATTTAAAAGTTATAAGTAAATAAAGTGAAATGACAAAGATTACTCCATCCAAATAGTTTTGATATTTGTTTGATGTTTGTAGGTATTTATATGAGTTATTATTTGCCTGGTTAGTATCAACTTTACATCGTGCTGATAATTTTTTACTGGAGAATGACATGGCAGCAGGTATAAAATGTTTATTTTTTTCATATTTATATATATTTATATATATTTGGTGTAGACTTGATACACATTTTGTTTAAAAATCATGGCTCTAAGTCTATTTTTTGCAAGGCAATTAAATATGAAACTACACTTTGTTGACTAATTGAAAAGGATTAGAATTGCTTGGGGTGTAACTGAAATATTGGATTGGTGAATGTCAAAACTATGTAATTATTTTGTAGAAATATAAAGAAATATATTACAAACAGAACTTGAAATGTTACTTATTATAATATATAAACGATTTTTAAGCATTTTCATATTTCTCGTTTATCAAAGATTGATCATGATCCACTGTGTAAGTTTGTTGACTCTTTGTTGAATCAAAAATTATGAAGTATGGTTCATTTGGACATTTTATGATTTTTTACTTGGTCATAATTTGGTTGATTTTTTGTGTTTAGATACTTCACAAAAAGGAAGAAGTAATAAAAAGAACAAAAAGAAGAAAAGAACTAAAACATTAAGTAAAGAAATCAACTTGGCCCAGGCACAACAACAGATGTTTGGTGGTTATTATAAGGTATGTACATTAATTGAATCATAAAAAGTGAAATGGATTTACACCTGCAAGGCTCTTTTGAAATTTTGAAATACCACAACTAGGAGTCAGTTTCACCAAATCCTTAAGATGATTTTAACCTGCAAATCGTTTAAAAGCTGGTCGCACATTAGAAATGAGAATCACATGTGTCTATCATTTTATTCAGATTGGTTACCGGGTAACCGTTACCCTAAATTGTAACATCATAATTTGAAAAGTACCTTCATAGATTAGGGGTTACAAAATAAAATATCATCAATCACTGTATGAATATGCAATTGTTACGATCAGTTACCATTTTTTTTACTCCATTTTATTTTGACAGGCTTTGGTAGGATTTAGATTAGATAATAAACTAACAGTACCATCATTTGAGTTTGATTGTGAAGAAGTGAGATATAGTCATAGATTTGGTCCATTTGTTAATGTTATCACACCCCCTGTTGTTTATTATAGTCAGTATAAGGTAAGTTGTAACTGTTGCAGAATTTCTTGTTATAAGCAAACTTATCTTGAATTGTGTGATAGCAAAACCAGCAGTAGAACAATATTACAGCCTCTTCAGTTTCTGCTCTCCTACGATTTGTCCATGTTATCAAGGAACAGGTCTACTTTACACGTTTTGATTGGTTTAAAACAATGTCATTAGAATGGTTTAAAACTTGTTAGATTATAATGGAGAGAAAATTATTAGAAAAGGAAGAAACAAAATTATCAAATGGAAATTAGATTTTGTCACTCTTTGTGCTTTTGAATTTTCTCTTGGACACTGATCTGACACATCTACATACTCAATGAGCTTTCCTTTCTTTTTTTGTGAGGCTTTTAAAATGTTTTAAACTTTATCTTGCTTTTTGGTTTACTGCAGTACTCAAATAATGTAATAATTTTGTTTGAAGGAAATGAGTGATTTGAGACGTTATGAACCAGGACCAACAGCCATAGATATGTATGATGTATCTTGTAAATGTTTTCATCAAGCTAAGACATTATTCGAGAGTATTCCCTCACCAAATGAAGAGGTAAATACATTTTTATTTTCACATTTATATTTATTTTTTATATTTTATTAAGGATGGATTAAAAAACAACATATTTGGCCCTTTTCACAACTTGAATCATTTTAGATATGTTATTTTTGTTTTATTTTAGGTACAATCATTAATGAGAATAGCTAAAACAAATTTTGTGGTTATGAAGTTATTAGTTGGTGGACATAAAAAAGAATCTCTGGTATGTTTGATCACTTGTTATGTACATGCATAACACAGCCCACCCTACCTACACTTTTTATATTACTGTTGAATAATTTCAACTAGTTAGGCCATACAAAATAAATAGTCAGTTTTACAGGCCCCGTGTGAATATTTGATAGCAGTAAGCAATCATTGTTTTTGTGTAAAATTACTTTAAAATGTAAAATGTTTTCACAGTTCAACTTCGATAGTTTTATATGTAACTTGATCCAGTCACAAAACTCCCAACAATACTTGATTGTCACCTTGCTAATTGAACACAAATGTGCATGAACTCAGTTCTTTGGCTTCCTCACATGGTTTTGAAACAAAGCTAGTTGAATGTTGCGGAAAATGCTTAAGGACAATGTAATACCAAGAATTACTTAAATACTTTCACTTCACAGTCTATTTTCAAAAACATATTCTGTTCACGGCCAGGTCAGAAATAATCTAACATGGATGTTTGTAGCTTCAGAGAACTGTAATGAGGACATCTGCAGTGTTCTGTAGTCAGATGGGAATAATTTATTGTTACCAGAAACTTTTTAACTGCTTCACTAAGTCTGTCTTACTTTTTTTTTGCTATTTCAGGTCCCTCCTGAGTTTGATTTCAGTCAACATCGAGTTTACCCTATTATTAAAGTTATATAGATCATGGAAACATTGTAATTTATTGTTGTGAATAAAAAATCAAATGCTTTGTAAAATCTTTGAATGGCATTTAGCAATTGTGAGTACGATATATAGACACAGCTTTATGGAACAACAATCACTGGTTAAAGTCTGAGGACGACGGGGGAAACATGTCGAAACGCTGCATCAAACTTTAACCAGTGATTGTTGTTCCATAAAGCTGTGTCTATATATAATGCTTTGTAAAATGTTCTTAATGAATTATAGTATTAACAATTCAGTAAAAATGGGTTTTATTTTCTCTCACGTTGAATTGTGTGCTCAAGAGTCTTTGAATATGGCTTGCACCGTATAATTATAAGAGGATATGTCCATGCAGGAATAACTGTAATTTAACAGAATAAAAATCTTGACGATCTATTCCCAAGGAAAAAAATATGGAAGTGAAGATCCCAGTTCATTTTTATTCTCAAAGATCGATCACTGCCTGGCAATATTAATAGCGCTTTCAAGAGACAAACTTTTAAACATAGGGGGTGCATTTTTCTTGAAAAGCACGAGAGTTTAACCACCAGTATAAGCCTTATTTCTTTAACTGTGCTATATAACACATACATTATGGCGGTATTTCTAGGAAATATAAATCATGAATCATTTTTAACGGAGATGACACATATTACAGTTCACAGTGGTGCCAAGGGGCTTTCGTGTAGAAAGGAAGGTGCGGAAAATTCCATTCTTTGATAGTTTATTTCATCTGACATGAAATGAGAATAAAACGTGTCAGGATTCTATATAGGCCAGTATATACAAGTAGAAATTTCCTCTCAATTGAAATATAATGTAAATGTTTATATTTAAAGGAAAAGATCCAATTACATTTGTTGATATAATCACAGAAAATGCACTTAAATACTTTTTTCACTCAAAGATCATCCGTTATCTAAACGGAAAGATGCTGAAACGATTTTTTGTTATTGTTGATTGTTTAGTACCGAGTCTGTGGCAGCTTCTGATTATATAACTGGGACGTTTGAAAAATTTGAGGAAACCTATTTAATTGTGTAGGTACAATTCCGATCTGTCGCCCCCAAGGTCAAATGATTACCACTATGTGATTACATTATTTCACACAGTGTAATTGGGAAGATATTTGTGGATATCTAACCACATTTTTCAGGAAACAGTGTGGTGTGAGAAAAATATACCTCTCTTTAAGACATCTCGTAATATACTGATTAATAACAGGGGAAATCTCCATAAAATTGTTGGGAGCAGACCTTATTGTGAAAACATCAGAACTATAAATTCATTAATAATTGATGTGTTTCATTTGATTATGGTGGTAATTAACAGCTTGTAAGATACTAATAAATATGGTACTTGGTATACTACAAACATACTACATACTAAAACTAATTACCCTGGCATGGTATTAGTAAATATAACTACTTAGCTGTACTTATCAACTTCAAGTGTTGGCACCAATTTTAGTTCCGCTCTACAGATATCATCGTAGAAAGAACTGACGTTAGACTTATTTTGTGTTGTGATTCAATGGATTATATCTACTAATTTCTGTGATCTTAGAAATAATTTTGGAAATTTATAATAGAACGACATGGAAATGTTCAAAACAAGGAGTTATTGTGTCACACAGTGTTTATATCAAATGTTAACTTTATTCTTATTTTTCATTTGTGTTATTTCTCAAGGTATGTAGTAACTTGGCTGAAATTCCTATCAGTGGATCATTTTCATACACAGTCTGTGGCACTGAATGTTTAGTTTTTGTCCTGCGAATTAAGACATCTCATTAATTTTGACAGTCTCTCTTAAAAACATTGCCAACAGTGGGAAGACAGTGCAAGATTTTGAAGTCTCCGAGTAGGTGTTTGGCAATTTGTCTGTGGATCACTAATTTGTCGAATTTAACCCTGGTTCCGTTAGGTGTAAAGCTGACTAATTCACTCGATAGCGGAAACGATTTTCTATGAAACTGGGTTGGCAATGTTGTATTATGTAGAGCATCAGGAAGTTTTCAAGAGTCCCTATGACAATCGACATTGCTGAACTATTTAATATTGACAAAAAGGTGGTATTCTGCTAGAAATCTTTTTTATAGAATTAGGTTAACCATACACCCTTATAATGGCGTGTCACATCAAAACCCCAGCCCATTACTAAGCCTTTTAAGTTTTCACATTAATATGAGATATATAGTTTAACGGATAAAACCAGCTTTATAAGATAAGGTAACCATCTGTTGGCTATATGTATGAAATATAATGAAGATTACAACATGTTTAATTGATTAAGGTTTAATTGATATTACCGTGTTCATAAGTCTCCTGTGATCATACAGACTATTTCAAAAATTCATGAAAATACATATGCGAGGAAAAAAGCCACTGTTTAGTATGCATGGTTTGTCTTTATGTAATGTTTCTAAATGGCCGGATTACTTCTCCAACCGATATTATGGGAACCTCTGTCACAAAATTTTTATGAAGGATAAGCTGATATTGAGTTTAGACTTTTTAACTCTCTGTAATCATTCCAATATATGATTCTAGCATATAATTGTCTGTGACGAATTTGTTACACGATATTTCTGAACTCTGGAATGTCACGAATCCTACACTTTTTCAATTACAGTGACAAGTTTGCATATACCAAAGTTTGAGGTACCATCACCAGAATCTAAATATAGGTTGGGAAGATCGGCTGTATTAAGATGTACTGTGACAAACATTGGTGGTAGAACGGTGAGTATCACAGACTGTTGATAAATCGATAATACTTTGCAACATAATAAGGTTCATCAAAATGACGTCAAGGCTTCTCACAGATATCAGATCGCACTGTTGGTCTTTTAAGTCGGATATGGGATTGTAAATTTGCATAAAAACAATCGTATAGTCGATAGGATTGTATGCTAGTGAAGACATTCAATCAGAGCTCTCTACAGAAAGTCTGTAAACTATAAGCCACAATGTTTACAGTATTTTTGTCGAGGGCTCTGATTAACTGCATTCGTACAATCTATCAAATTTCGTGTAACCAGAATAGTGTCTATTGCAGTCAAGGTATAAGACGAAGTTCGTAATGTAGCTTGACATTGTTATATATGGATATACTAATTCTAAATTTATTTATCTTCATAAACCACTGTTCCTGAACCTCTTCTGTGGCCTTATGATTATCACAACTCCCTGTTTTCTTTCAGATAATATGGAAGAAACTGTCTGATCCATTTCCAATCTCAATCGGTACTAATAAGTTTAATCCTAGTAATAAATATAGAATTAAACAAGAAGGTGATAGCTGGTTATTAACGATAAAGAAGTTAGATAGAGGTGATGCTGGTGATTATGAATGTCGAGCTAGTGGTAAAGGAAATCATGCTGTCACAATATCCCTCATCATACCAGGTAAGGTATCAATTATATTTATGAGATGCTCTCTTGGAACGTGCATTACGGAGAGTGCTCAATAAAACCATCACAGGGGTTACTATTACTATTACTATTATATCAAAAACATTTCCGGTATAGATTAACGTAATTATTTTTTTTTGATATATCAGGTGAAGGTGACACACATTTCAGTCCAACAGACACTGATTTATTTGCTGCTCTCACAGAAACCATCATGTTACCATGTAAAGTCAATAACTTGAAAAAGCTTAAGGTTGGTATTAATTCTGATGTGCATGATATGCACACGCTGAGAATGGTCAATCTGCAACAATGGATTCACACTTCTCGACAGTCAAATCAAAATTTATTTTTAATATAGTCACTTCAGTTGGGTCAAACGACAGCCCTATTAAATGTTTGTCAAATTAACCTTTTGAACTTACCTGATAAACATCGTGTCACAAAATGCTAGCGATGGAGAGGGAAGAAATTGGATTGGTTAAAGACGTCATCGAGTTAAGTCATAAGGTTAATTTGGCGAACGTTCAGGAAGATGTTTATTTTAAAAAAAAACCCGAAAGTTTGGTTTAAATTTAATTAAGACTGACTTCTCGAAAGCTTTTTGTGATTTAGGAACTGACCGTCGCATATTTTGTTATTCATATAGGTATTTTTTTGCCCATATCCAATATAACAGGATTACCATATTATCTCTGCCTTCCCAAATAAAATGTATACGTTAAATGATGCATTTTCAAGTAATATATTGTCATTAGTCTGCTTATCAGGTGGCGTGGTTAGACCAGAAAGGTAATGTTATCAGTCTAAGAAAGAAAGTTATAAATGGTGATCAGAGATTACGGATTGTTCACACTGCCAGAGAAGAATGGAGTTTACAGATTAAGAAATTAAGAGATGAAGATTTCGGACGTTATACATGTCTGGTAAATTCTAACCCTGTGATATCAAGATCTGTTTTGTTAAAAAACACAGGTATATAATTCATTCCATCGTTACTTTGTGTAAGAGATCTTATTTTATTCCTTCGAAGACCCATGCTTGGAGGATTTCAGATCATCAAGTGAATGAATTATACTGCCGAAATAAAAATTCAGGAATGAAACTATCCCAACTCCCCAACTTCAACTTATCCAACCGGAAAAATGTCGCTACAATTAGTATTGTAAGATTTAAGAGCCTTTTTCATATAGTACGAAACAAAAGTATTCAATTTGTTGGAATTTTTAGGTAAGTCAATAAATATATTGGAAGTTGCAAGGCCTACCTTTCGGCATCCTTACCTAGTATCAATTATTTCAGGTCCATCCTTGTCACCACCATTTTTGAACCTACCTAAGAAGAAATATGAGAAAAAAGAAGGTGAATCTGTTGATTTAGAATGTTTGTTTCAAGGATTCCCTATACCAGTAGTAACCTGGTATCGACGAATTCAAGTTGGAAATAGAAGGCGGAAAGAGGGTAACCACGTACTACATTTATGCCTTTAAATTGCCGTGTTCTATGTACAGAGGTTGTGTGATGGAAAATGTAAAATACATCACATACTGTGGAATGTCTGAAAAGTGTTGTCAGTCGTATCACAGTTTATCATTTTTCTTCTCAGAAGAAGATAATAAAAGATAAAATTTTCAAAATGCCTTCATAATATTCAATAAATACCATATAAACATTTTGATATGAATATTTGACAAAATTTACACTTCACTAAATATCTCGGTGTTTATTTCAGTTCTAAGCCATAAAGGAATGATTTTAAAATTAACTGATATTAAACCTGGTGATAGTGGAGATTATTATTGTACTGGTAAAAATGGTGTACAGCCACTTTCTAGAGGAAAAATAAAACTAAATGTAGAAGGTAAGCTATTTATTTCAATTCATTCCATCTTATTCCTGTCGTATATCAGACATTCATTTAGCACGTAGTAACTGATTTTTGCAAGATAGATTCAATAGCGATAGTACTTTGTCGATGACTTCGAAGCCCTTTTAAGTACTCTTGATTATCTTAACACCAATTAACAATCAACGCTGATTTATTTTCAGCCAAACCAACAACAATACCTCCGCCTACCACTCCTTTTGTACCGACTGGACCAGGTAAGAACTGTTTTTTAATCTTCAAGACTGGCCTCTATATCACCAGCATCATGAATACAATAAAAGTTATTATGATGTTCATTATTTGTTTTCTCGATTTGACTTTTTAAATGTACTTTTATACTAGTATCAGCTATATTTCTTGATTTAATTTAGCCGGAGCTAGAGTGAAATTGGTGGTGGACAGAATTGGTCAAAGGAAAGGAAGAGATGCTTATCTTGAATGTATGGGTATTGGTATCCCGTATCCTACAGTGTATTGGAAACGTCATAAATCCATAATACACAACGACTTTCAACACATTACATCACATACAAAACATAATGAATATACCTCCCATAGTAAATTACATATAAGATATGTGGGAACCTCAAACTATGGCGTCTACGAATGTGTTGCTACTAATTCATTGGGATCTGATGTTGCTATTGTTGAGTTATACGGTAAGCAGTGGGTGTACCCACGACTTTCTTGCAATGAGATACAATTTAAATTCACTTGTACCATACAGCATTGCTAGGGTACATGAAGTGAAGGGGCCGAGCAGGAGACACAGTATTGTCATAGTGGGGCTCACAGCCACAGGCATTTAAGAACTCAATAATTACCAAAAAAATAGCGCCCCTACCGTACAACCGCTGATGCTATAGACTGAAATGCCGAGACAGGCTTTTATATTTCCCTTTACATTTTACATTTATTCCCACCACCCCGTGGAAACCACTGTTTGATATTCCACCCTATAACAAAAGACACAATTGTTTGAATTCTTCAGAAACAGAAGTATGTTATTATAGAATTGTATTTAATTTAATTCTATCACATATTTATTCTTCCAGAGACACAGAATTGAAATACCCGATAAATTTTTGTACAGAAGACAATTCATCCTGAAAGTATCTGTTTGAAATGGCAATGGAATAAGGAATATATCATTTGATAAAAGATGGAACAATGTATCAGGTCAAGAACAAAGTAACGCAACTAAGACAAAAAGTCATATCCGCTTTGTTAATAGAAGTTGTACGTACAATCTGTAGTGTTTCATTTTGGAGAATAGTTTGTGATGTATCATTGAACTGATTTTTGAATTCGGGGAATTAAGACTGAATAACAATTTAAGAGTGTTTTTCTGTAATATAAGAGAAGTTTTACTATACAAAAATTCTATGTTATCACTTAATAAATGTTATATTTGATAATGGCAAGGTGTATGGGGCAATAATGGAATTGATCGGTTGTCAGAATTGTTTCAGAGAGCCTTGTTTTCATATTATTTAACAGAATCATGCATACGTGAGGATAGAGTAAATGTCCCGACCGTTATTAACATCCTAGGAATTTCTTTTCCTATTCCTATAGATGTCTTATTTTTATGTGTGACAGTGTCTCAAGAAAATACTTTTTTAACTTTCAAACGCAGATAATTCTGGACACGTATGGATTTGAAGGCTCAAATTTCAAGGTGAGCTGTAAACACTATTACTAAAATTCAAGTTTCTGAGACTGAGGTATTGTCCAAAAAATGGCGCATCTGTCCCTTTTATATAATCGTGTGCTCTCAAATTCTGAACCGTCAACCGTACACAACCCACACATAACTACATGTATATATCTCTACATCTGAAGAACTGTGATTTTGTGTCTTTTAGAATCTGTCATTACTAACAGGGTTATAAACGGACTAGAAAATACAGGTATACTAGTACAATATAATAGTACTTTAAACTCATTAAATTGAAGACTACAGAATGCAATAAAACTAATTATCTCCCTTTGACCACATGCGAAAAAGGCTTTGACCTTTTTCCGAAATTTGACGATATTTACATTATATAATCTAACGTATTGCAGCTTTGAATATATTTCTTACAGTAAAGTGAAATAAAGCCAGTCTTATTCTGTGTGAGTTTTTGATGCCATGGAACCATTTGTTACAGTTCGACCTTTGACCCACTAACTGTACAAACTATTTTTCGGCCAAATTATTGCAAACAGTTCTACCTCAATTAATTAGCAAAATTATGATTTTTAATTTTCAGCCCGTAGTATCTATATTGTCTGAAAAAACCGACAAGAAACATCTAAGAGTGGTTAACCGCAATATGAATTTTACCACAGGCAACACTTATTTCAAATTATGCCCCTTTGACCAAGCTGTAAAATGTAAATAACATATTCTGCAAATCACCTGAATTTCATGTCTTAAAGAAATATTGTGTATTAACACGAAATGTGTTTACGAATGGTAAGTCATTAAAAATGAATTAAGACAACTTTTCTAACATAATAGGCCTACACTGTTTTGAATATTTCATTCAATATCATCACTTAACATTTTTTTATTTCCCACAAAAATATTGACACAACGTTGAATTGTAGTCATTTCGAGGAGCGATTCGTCAATGTTTATTTTATCATTTTTCGAACACACTATCTTCAAAATCGCATTTTGTCAATCATTTTTATCTATTGAAAATCTTTCCAAAATCCTAACAATTTTAGATTAATAAAATTACAGTCGATGTAAGATTACCTGGAAACAAATTTACATATAGATGAACAATAATTATTTCATTCTAAACGTTAAATTACAGCGAAATTTACGAAATACGCCCACATGAAAACGTGTACATTTGTTGATTTATTTGAATTCATTTTTCTATTTAGTAATTCGAGGTAATTTTTAGGCGCATGTGGCATTTGTATAAATTTCAACATTACCAAACTTGATAGTCCGAGAATTCAGGTGGTAAATTGACTGCAGAGAAAAATGTGGTCTTAATAAATTGATATCATGGAAAATTGGTCATCTACAGGAGTTCTGTGGATTTAATTTTAATATGTACTTGGGATCAGTTAAATTTTGATACCACAATTATGACAAAATTTTTGGGGCCAATTGTTAATCTGACCAGTTTACATTATTTTTGTAAAGAATAATCGCAAGTCAAACGCTTTAGCTATACCTTGCATGATCCAAGAATGTATTTTCACATTTTCATGCCTTCCACCTTTTACAACCGAACATGCTGTGTATGATTCAAAAAAACTTATTTGTAGTTAAATTGCCTCATGTCTAAAATAGAATGAAACAATAAACGACCGATGTGAGTTTTAAATTACAGACTATTTTGTATAAACAATTTGTCAACCAGATATTATTTCTTTGTCAATGATTGTCAGGAAATGTGTATTGAGGAGGAAGGAATGTGAACACATCCTACAAGTTTAATAACCAACTAACATACAAGTCAAGGAACTCAGCATATTACAAAGTTACACAATGTTATACAGTCAGATATTGCCCAGTTGATATATCATACCTAGAAATTCCACATTAAAAATGTAAAAAACATAATTAGGAAGATACTGAAGATACCAAAAGAATTCACAATGTCCAACTTCAAAACAATACACATTTATAAAATACATTTTTTTTAAAAAAAAATCAACCTTTTTATAACAAAGGAGATAAGTAAATTGGTTACTTTTCAAATTTTAAAACTAAAGCAATCCAGAATAAAACTTTCTCTTTCGAAAATGAATTCTTAAATTATCAGATGCTCAATCTTAGAGACAAAGTTCACGGGTCCCCACCCCTTAGGGGGCTCCTACCCCCAGAAAACAAAGTAACTATAAAAAAACACACGACATAATGCTTGGGCCCTACCAAGGTCAATATTACGTCAGCTATGACTACATATAAGTACGGAAGCATATTAGGGCCATTCATTTTTTTTTTTTAATTTTCAAGTTAGTATGTTGAATTTTCAAGTTAGTAACTCGAATTTTCAAGTTAGTTACTTGAATTTTCAAGTTAGTATCTTGAATATTCAAGATAGTATCT